CGTCCGTGTTGAAGTGCTGCTCAGAATATGCGGGTGCCATCGATCGGAACAAGTGGTCATCTGAGGGAGCAAGGGCTGGTGAACACGGCGGGCGGGTTCATACCTCCCAGGCAAGATCTTTTCACGTGTCTGTAACTGGCTTTGAAGTGTGTGATGGTGCGTCCACATTTTACTGACGACTTTTCTGATTTCCGTTTGTCTTTCGTTCAGTTGATGTGGCACCCGTTTTCCTTCCTTTAAAACCTTTCCCATTGCTTGTAAACAACCAGAAATTGTTTGCTGGGCAACGTTTCACCTTTCTGCAAGTTGTTTTTGAGTTTGACACGCATCTCCACCCAATAATGCTTGTCATCATTGGTCTTCAAACGTTTTCAGTTGACCTGGACTTTCTTTGTCTTTCACATCGAAATCAACCCTTTTAAAGCATTTAAACCAGCGTTCCCAAGTATCTTGAGATGGAGCATGTTCACCATAAGCTTCCCAGAGGATGCAATTATTTTCAGGAGCACTTTTTTTTTTAACTAAAGTAATGAATTCAAATTTCCCGCAAATGCTCTCTTTTGGGCACGAAATTTGACCTTTTTAAGCATAAAAATATCTATGATGTTAACACCTTCAGAAAATTTGAAGTTTTGAAGCTTGTTGTCAATACAACAAAATAGCATACATATCAAATCATCGCATCTATATCAACATATGTGTAACTCCATCTAGTGAAAAAAATCCGCATTATTAACCGGACCACCTAGTATAAGAGACACCAGAGCCCGGCGTGGCTCAGTGGTTGAGCATCCACCTACGAACCAGGAGGTCACAGCTGGATTCCTGGTCAAGGCACAAGCCCAGGATGCGGGCTCCATGCCCTGTGGGGGCTGTGCAGGAGGCAGCTGAGTGATGATTTTCTTTCATCATTGAGTAATTCCTCTCTGAAATCAATAAAAATATATATTTTTAAAAGAGAGCTTAAAGCAGGGAGAAGGTTGGTGAGTTGAAACCAAACAAAAAGAAGAGACCTCTGAGAGAGCCCTCCCTCCACCTGCTCGCACCAAGGAAAGGCATGTGAGCTGAGCAAGAAGATGGCTGTCTGCCAAGCAGGAGGAGCGTCCTCGCCGAACCGGACCACGTTGGGCCCTGACCTCAGACGTGCAGCCTCCAGAACTGTGAGAACATAACTCTCTGCTGGTGAAGGCCCAGGCTGTGGCATTGTATCACGGCTGCCCGCGCTGGTGACACGTCCTATGGTGCCCAGGACATGCCTTCTTCTCAGGAAGAGATTTCACCAGGGCTTCCTCTCCTGCGCTCATAGATCACCTGTATAACAAACATGAATTTAAAAAACGTTGGGTTGTTCTGTTGACATTGCACACAGATGGGCCCAGAATAAATGACAGGTAGTAAGAGGGCGCCATGAAATATGCAAATGCCCTTTGGAGAAGAGTGAGCTTTGTTTTTTTCAACCTGGAAGGCAGGTTGTTGGCGAGGGTGCTGGTGGGCCTGGGTGGGAAGGACCAGGCCCCGACTCAGACCCTCCCTCAGCCATCCCCACCCTCCTCCAGGTGAAGCTGGGGTTTGTTTGAAGTGAGAGCTGCATGGAGGACAACAGCTGGGGCCACACAGCCCTGCTGCTCCGTCCGAGGGGAACAGGTGGAGCTGGGGCCAGAGCGTGAATGCTGGCGATTCACGGGTGTGCAGCAGGCGGAGTGCCCGGCTCAGGCCAGCGACAGCTGGCAGCACGTGGGAGGGCTGGGGAGGGTGGGTTTCAGCCTCAGGAAGAAGGCACCAGAGGGCAGGAGACCAGAGAGCGAAAGAGGGGGAACTCCTGTGCCCCCACCCCAGGCTGGGGCAGCTGAACTGTGAGGCTTGGGGCCCTGCAGGGTGCGCGACACAAGGAGACCAAGGAGATGCACCCTGTGGGCCCCCGTATTCTCCAACCCCCGCCTAACCCTAAACCCCAGGTGTCTGGGCCATCCCAGCAGCTGTGCCAGGCTTTTGGCTGGTCAGGGCCCAGGCAGGGGACCAAAGCAGCTGCCACCCTCCCCTTGCAGACAGGGGTAGGAGCACAAGGTGGTGAGGTGATGGCAGGACAGGCCACCCCTTTCTGCCCAGAATTCTCCTCTGTGCCCTGATTCTCTAGGGAAGTGACCCAGTAGAAAAGCAACGTCTACTGAGCACAGTGCTACTGACTGTAGAGCCCAGCACTCCATCCTCCCAACAGCCCTTGTAAAAGCACCATGCCTCCCAGTTCACAGGTGGGAAAACTGAGGCTCCTTTATCAGACACTCGAGAAGGGACAGAGGGACATTAGATGCCAAAATTATTAGACACGAGAGCCCAAATCCACAACCTCTGAGGGGGACCGAATTAGCGAAATGCCCAGCAGTCCCCCGGGAGGGTCTAGGTCCGACTTTCTCAGAGTCAGAACGGAGGGCAGTCAGATCGGTGGAAGCTGAAAACCCTTGTCTCTGGAGATTTCTCCAACAAGAGTGATCCGTCGCTTGGGCCTGGTTTAGCAGACGTGCCTTGGAGTGGGCGGCAGGACCCAGCCCCCCATTCTTTGGCGGCGAGGTTTGCTGGACATTCCTAGGGGGCCTTCAGCTCCCAGGTGAGCTCACAGACCCTCAGCGGTGGGAGGCAGTGGACCATCTCCCTAAAGCTTTACACAGACTTGGTTCCTCCCACCAGCACAGGACCCAGCACCCAGTGGGCAGGGAGCAGCCTCCTCGCCCCACGTCTGGGCTTCCATCTGGCCAGCAGGGGGACCCCGAGCCCCAGGCACCACCCGTATGGGGCAGCTGCTCCTGGCTCTGGATGCACCTGACCCTCTCAGCAGGCCCACATCCCCCCCTGAGTCTCGGTCTGCTACTCTGCGAAATGGGTAAGTAACTATACTTCAGTAGCCACGGTGCGGGGTGAAGAGCGCTACACACGGAGTGTTGGTAGACTTCACTCTTCAGTTGTCGTCCTGCACGGCCTCATGGCTCCATTTATGTGAAACGTCCAGAAGAGGCCGATCCTTAGGCAGAACGTGGCGCCGCGACTCCAGGGTCTGAGAGGGAATGGGTGGGGTTGGAAAGAACCGGAAGGTTGCGGGGATGACGAAAACATCCTAAAAGAAAATTAGGGTGATAGTTGCACACTTCTGTAACTGTACTAAACACCATTGAGTTGCAGACTTTAAATGGGTGAGCTTTATGACATAGAAGTTATGCCCCAGTAAAATGTAACTGGGGGCTCTGAATCTAATCTGGCAACGTCTCCATGGCCTCCTCTCCCCCTCAGCACATGCAGAAGCTAGTGGGCATGTGATTCTGATTGAGGAGCAGGAGGACTGTGGATGGGTAGGAAGGAGAAAGGGGGCATGAGGGAGTCCCGTTTCTCCCCGCCTTGATTGCCCTTCTGCCCTGTGCCCTTGGTGTGTGAGGGTCTGGCAGGGAGGGCGAGTGGACTGGCCAGGACGAGCTGGGCGGTGCCAGGGCCTGAGCTCCGCTGAGTCTGTCCCATGATGAGCGAGCAGGTCCTCCAGGTGGTGTGGTGGCAGGTGGACCTGCCAGAGGCTGCATGCAGATCAGAGAAGCCCAGATCCACAGCTCGCACCCCAGGCTGGGGCGGGGGCTGCCTGTTGAAGGGCTGCAGGTGCTGGGGGAGGCTGAGTCTTTTTTAAAATTTTTTATTTTATTATTATTTTTTAATCCTCACCCAAGGATATTATTCCATTGATTTTTAGAGAGAATGGAAGAGAGAGAAAGACGGAGAGAAACATCGATGTGCGAGAAACTCATCGATTGGTTGCCTTCTGCATGCGCCCTGACCAGGGCCCAGGCCAGGGAGGAGCCTGCCACCAAGATCCGAGGTACGTGCCCTTGATTGGAATTGAACCCGGGACCCTTTGGTCCGCAGGCTGACTCTATCCACTGAGCCACATGGGCCAGGGCCAGGCTGAGTCTTTAACTGTGGCACGTGCCTGGGGCCTGGGGCCTGGGGCCTGGGGCAGGCTGAGTGCCAGCTGAGGGCCTGAGAGCTTGGACGGGGTGGAGAGACAAGTCTGCGCAGGGCGTGAGGAACCTCGAGCACGGACGCCCCTGGGAGTGCTCAGGAAGCCTGCGGTGCCTGGGGAAGAGTTACCCTTCCCAGCTTCGCCAACGCCAACCCAACGAGGCTCCAGGGAAGTTCACCGGCCCCCTGTGGCTGAGCAGAAATGGAAGGTCCCGCCCCCTCAAGGCTTCGGGTTGGGATCTCTATTCTGAATGAGGGTCAGCCCTGGACGGGGGCGGTGTCGGGAATCCTCAGTGGATATCGGGGCCACCTAACCTGAAACTGCAACAGGAGGCAGCCAGAGGGGGCCCAGGTGGGGAAAGGTGGGACGCACCAACCAGGGTCTCTGTTAGGATTTCCTGTGCACCTCACTCCCTGGCTGGGCTCCTGCAACACCAGCCAATTGGGCTGTGCCAGAGGGAGAGGGGACAGAGGGGGCAGGAGAGGGGTGGGGGATGGAGGTGGCCTCGGGAGGGAGCGAGGCGGCTTCCTAAGCCCGGTACCCCATCCGTAAAGGGAATTTGCTGAGAGAGAGAAAGGATGTAATGACTCAGGAGAGAGTCTGCAAAGTGAGGCACGGAGGATGCTCGGGGGAGCATTTTCAGGACTGAGGCGCGGGGAGGGGCCGTCGGTGAGGCTGGATGTGGGGGCGCTGCGCAGCTGATGTAGGGGCGCCTCCCGGCATCCTGCATCCAGAAGGGGAGCGGGCGCCTGGAGGCTGAATTCACACGGGGAGGGGCCCAGGGAAAGCTCACATTTTCCCAGCATTTCTCACCCAGAATCACTTCCTTTGTTGAGCGGAGGGGGTGAGGGAGGAGGTGGAGGGCGAGGAGGGAGGGGCCCGAGGTGCCACCGCCCCCGCCCCTCCAGTGTGTGGAGCCCTGTTGTCACTCAGCCCCGTGCCCGGCGCCTGAACCAAGTCCACACCGCTTCACCCCGACCTGGACCTGGACCTGGACTGGACCTGGACTGGACGTGGACCTGGCGGGCTGGCTGGGCTTCCCGGGTGCCCCGTGCTGGCGGTGGCTGAGCGCCTGGCTGGGAGGCTTGGACCGCTCAGGTGGCTGAGCGCTGCCGGCTCCGGTGACCTTGGGCAGGTCTGTGATTCCTTCGCATCCATCGGGCTCCGGAGGGTGCGGGAGGGCGAAGCAGGCGGCTAGGGAGCCCCCTTCCAGGGCGGGTGGGCAGCGCGGTCCTGCAGAGCTGGAGCGGGGCCAGGGCGCCGCTGGGAGCTGGTGCCCACGTCTCTGGCCCAGCCCAGCCCCGCCCCCGCGCCGTGTCCCCAGCTCTGGGCGGCAGCAGGTGCCCCCAACTTTGGGCACCACCTCTGGGCCCCCTGGCGGCCAGCAGACAGGCTGGTGAGCTCCTGGCACCCTGATCTGGGGCATTGGTGGGCAGAGGCAGGCGTGGGGACCTTGTGGGGCGTGTGCAGTGGAGCAGGAGGAGTGAGCGCTGCTCTCCCAAGTTGCTGAATGAAACCCCGGGGGCGATAAGGGGAGGGACAGAGACCAGGCAGAGAGAGGGCCCAGGGTCTCACTAGCCCCAGCAGACACCATGGTGCCAAGTGGGCACAGCTCCAAGGGGAGGGAGCCCGTGTCCCCTGCCACCCACAGCCTCCCCACCCCAGCTTCCTGACCACAGGTGCCCTCGCCGATGTGCCCGGCCTCTGCCCGCCATGCCGCCCGTCTCGGCCTTCCAGGCCGCCTACATCAGCATCGAGGTGCTCATCGCGCTGGTGTCTGTGCCGGGGAACGTGCTGGTGATCTGGGCCGTGCGGGTGAACCAGGCACTGCGGGACGCCACCTTCTGCTTCATCGCCTCGCTGGCCGTGGCTGACGTGGCCGTGGGCGCCCTGGTCATCCCGCTCGCCATCCTCATCAACATCGGGCCGCAGACCTACTTCCACACCTGCCTCATGGTCGCCTGCCCCGTGCTCGTCCTCACCCAGAGCTCCATCCTGGCCCTGCTGGCCATCGCCGTGGACCGCTACCTGCGCGTCAAGATCCCGCTCCGGTGAGTCCCCCGCCGTGGAGGGTCCTGGCCACGCCCATGCTGGGCGGTGTGAGGGCCCTTGGGAGAGGACAGAAGGTGGACACAGACCCCCGTAAGCCAGAGTCCTCTGGGCCAGGTGTCCAGTCCCCAGGCGGCCCCCTGCCCTCTGCTCTGGGTGCTGGGCTGAGCTGTGGTGGAAGCGGGAGGGTGCTGGTGGCTGGAGGATGGGACCCTGCATTGCCCAGGAGCCCTGAGCCAAGCTGCTGCTGTTCTCAGGGCATGGCCAGCTGTCCAGCCTCGGGTGGGGGTTAGGAGGACAGTCAAGGTGAGCGCTAGGTGGGCGAGCTGAGCCCACCAGTCCCAGGGGAGCATAAGGGGAGCAGGTTGCTGGGGTGGGGTCGTCTTGTGCAGAGGGTGCCCGCCCGGAGCCAGACAGGGCAGCCTTCCCAGAAACACTCATCTCTGTGCCCGCCGGCTCCACCCTCCGGCTGCCCTGGGAGCTGAGCAGTCAGAGTCCCTCTGCCCCACTCCCACTGCCGGATCTCGGCTGCAGGCAGGAGGAGGGGAAACAGGGCCCCTTCTCTGGACGTCCTTGTTCTGTCACACACCCCTGCAGGTCTTTGCGGGTCACAGCAGGGGGACCCTGCGTTGTGTCCAGCAGCACCCTGGTGGGTGGCCTGGCGGTGGCTGTCCTCACATGGGTGTCGAGTCCGCATGGGGCCCGTGCCCAGGACTCCCAGGCCACGTTCTCGTCACAGGAAGTGCCTGGGCCACCAAGTGCCAGGGGACGCCTGGGTGCCCTGCCAGGCTGCCCTGCAGCGACGCCTGTGTGGCCCCCTCAGTCCTGCCAGGTCAGCAGCAAGGAGCTCTGGCCGTCGCTGGCACCTGCTTCCATATCTGGGACGCGGGGCCTCTGGCCTCACTTGGCAGTCTGCCCAGGCAGGCCTAGCCGCCCACGTACCTCCCGCTTGCGTTCAGTTCGTGGAACTTTGCGAAGCTTCTTTTCCTGCAGCATCCCCCCCCCTCGCCCCCCCGGTTCTCACCATGATCCTCTGGGAAGCGCCAGTGGAGCTGGTGGAGGGAACACCGACACCCAGAGGGTCCTGGGGCCGTTGGGAGGGAGCCTGGGTTCCCTGGCCCCTGACCTCCCGGTTCCCCCACACCCAGCAGCTCTGCCTGCCTCCCCCGGCCCCCAGGCTTCCCGGGGGGGTGGGGCCGAGACCGCTGCTCGGGGGAGAGGCAGGGACGTCCCGGAGCCCCAGCTAGTGGGCACTGAAGGGCCTTGGTGCTGCCGTGGTCCCGGGGGCAGTGGCTGTGCAGGGGAGGCTGGTCCTGCCCATCAGGGCAGCGGGACCGTGAGCCGAGCACAGAGTGTCCTCCATCAGGACGCGCAGAAGTGGGAAGCGGCTCAGACTCTGTCTGGAGAGCGTGTGAAGGTGATCAAAGGCCTGGCTCCCATGTGACAGCGGAATGTGCCCCACTTGCCCTGGTGGCGGTGGCTGCAGGCCTGCCCCTCCCTCCCTCTGGGGGCAGCTTCTGTCTCTGGCCCGGAGGAGTGAGGAGCGGGGCCCTGAGGGGCTGTGTTCTAGGGCCGGAGGCTAAGCGTATGGACCTGCGGGCAGCCCTCCTGGGAGCCTCTAGCTGGTGTGGCAGCCGCACGGGTAGGGGTAGGTCTGTGTTTGTCGTGGCGTCACTGTGAACATGTGTCTCCAAGGGGCTGAGTAGGGAAGCCGTCCCCCACCCACTCGTCCTTTTACACAGTAGCACCCCCCCCCCTTTAAGGGGCCGTCAAGGTCCCGTGAAGTCACGTCTGTTCTGGCCTTTGCTCCCTTGGTGGGTCGTCAAAGTCTCAGGGGCAGTGGCTGAGGCAGCCCGGCCTTCTGTCTGTTTCTGCAGAAAGCCGAGCTCGGGGCCGGGCCCAGGACAGGCTCTCGGGAAACGTGGATTGAACCAGACGAGAGTGCAGGCCTCCGGGGGTGGACCCTCTAGGTCTCCCTTTTGCTGGGGCTGGACCTCTGAGCTTCTCCTCTGCAGCCCTGACCCATGGCTCAGGGCGCCGCGCCGGTGCCCACAGCGAGGAACCTTTCTCCTGTGAGGGCCGGTCCCAAGCTGGGGTCCTGGAGGCCGGGCCGAGGGGAGGGGCCCCTCCAGGGACTTGCCTGCCCTGCTCCTGGCTGGTCAGCCAGAGGGCCCACCTCTCTCCCTGTCCGGGTGAGCCAGTCAGAGGTGAATGGGCCCTGGGCACCAAGGGGCAATGCTGACCAAGCCTGGGGAGGCTTTCACGGGCATCTGGGTGACGTGTCCGCTGGGCCCCTCACCGAGCCAGGCATGGTTTGGTCAGTCAACCGGAAATGTTACTTCCTTCCACCTGGCAGAGACAGAGAGAGAAAGAAGGTTGACAGCAAGTACTGTGATCCAGTTACCCCCGAAACACAACAAAAACAAACCTCGAAGGGCTGATTCCTCAATAACCTGTGGTCATTTACATGTACTCTGCATGTCATTTGCATAACACCTTCACAAGCTGGGTGACTGCTGCCTTGTTCCCCTAGCTCCCGCTCTGGGCATTCGCCCCAGGGTTTCTTGGTGGCGCCCGCCCCAGGGGGCTGGCTGCAGGAGGAGTGCCAGCAGGGCTCCCTGACCCAAGACAGGTGGGGTGAGAAGTGGTGGGGGGTTGGAGTCAGAAGGACCTGAGTTTGAACCTTGCTCTGTGGCTGACTAGCGGTGCAGCCCTGGATAAGCTGTTCAACCTCTCTGAGCCCTTCCCCTCGTCTGTTAGACAAGGGGCTGGGTGCGGGATGTCAAGGTTCCTTCCAGCTCTCGGTGGCTCTGCCTTGTCGCCCTGACAGTGCTGTTTTGAGGTCCTGGGACAGTCGAGTTGTGTTTTTAGCTCTGAGTGCTAAGAACTAGCACGATGCTGTGTATTTATCTGCTTTTCTCACTTAATGCTCATAGCCTCTCAGTAGTAGATGTTATTGTAAATTCCTATTTTAAAGACTTTTTAAAAAATATACTTTATTGATTTTTTACAGAGAGGAAGGGAGAAGGAGAGGGATACAGAGTTAGAAACATCAATGAGAAAGAAAAATCGATTCAGCTTCCTCTTGCACGCCCCCTACTGGGGATATGCCCACAACCCAGGTACATGCCCTTGACCGGAATCGAACCTGGGACCCTTCAGTCCGCAGGCTGATGCTCTAGCCACTGAGCCACACCAGTTAGGGCTTAAAGACTTTTTTTTTTTTTTTTTTTTAAGATAAATTGAGGTCTGAGGCTCAGGGAGGTTCAGAAATTTGCCCAAACGTCCTGTCAGGGGGAGACAGGATCTAACTCTGGCTTGTCCACCCGAAGTCTGTAACCAGCGAGTCCCTGGGCTTCTGGAATCAGCCCAAGAAGCTGCAGGGTTCATGGAGGGGTTTCCTCAAGGCTGTCAGCAGAGTGATCGCTCTCCTCTGGCCTTTGCCAGTGTCCCCTCTCCCCCTCCCCTCAGCCCATGCGCTCCCTCCCTCCTCACCTTCCCTCCAGTGGGCAGGGGAGCCCCTGGTAGCCTTGCCTCTGTCCACAGCTGGAAGCCTGCCCGGCTGGGCTGCTGACAGGGAAGCCAGCCTGCTGGACCAGGCTCCGGCGGGGAAAGGAATCTGGTAGATTAGGGTGTGTTCGCTTTTAGCCATCAGTGTGGCCTCCTCCCTGGACCAGCTGGGGCCTTTCCTGACAGTAAAGTGCTCCTGGGCTGGGGCCCCGCAGGCTGCGGTCTGTGGCCTCAGGTCCCAGAACAATTGCTCTGTCGTCTTGGCACCTGCTCTCAGCTCTGTGTGAGGAGAGATTAGTCAGGGGCCTGGAGTGGGAGACACAAGAGGAGCCTGACGTCCAGTCTCTCACCAGCGAGGAGGAAGCAGAGGCCCAGGGTTCTGGGGTGGTCAAGGTCACTCCTCCAGGTGTTCAAGGTCACTGCCCTCCCCCCAGTGGGACTTGCTCCCAGCCTCTGACCCCCACCCCCCACCCCCACCAAAAGCTGAGATGTGCAGCCTCCGCCCGTTGAGAGCAAATCGGTGGTGGGTCGAGGGGGAGAGTGATGGGAGGATGTTGATTTGTGATTAAAAAGCTGGCCCAGGCGCCATGAGCCGCCTCAGTGGGTGAGCATCCACCTATGCACCAGGAGGTCACGGTTTGATTCCGGTCAGGGCACATGCTTCCAGGGCAGGAGGCAGAGCGTGGGTGCCGGAGCTGGGAGGTGAGGCGGGAAGCAAGGTCATGGTGGAGAGGGAGGATGCGGGAGGCGCGATGGGGAGTCGCGGGTGTGAAATGATTCTCTTGCGATGAGTCAGGAGGCCTGTGTGACTGGGGGCAGCTGGACCGGCCCCTGCAGTCCCTGGAGACTCCCGCGGCCCGGCCGGCCCTGAGGAGATCTCGTTCCGTCACAGATTCAGAGGTGACAGATTCTGTGACAGGTGTGAGGGCACTGCCTTTGTGGAACCTGGAGACCCGTGGGCACAGAGCTGCCGTGACAACCGAGAAGAATTCGAGGGAGGGAGCCACCCTACATTCTCCGTGGCTCCTCCAGATTCCCGTGGACAGTGTCCCGAGAGGCTCCCAGGGGCTGAGGACTGAGGTGGGACTGGTGGCTGAGGCTCAGGGTCAAGAGGTCACATTGTCTTCTAAGTGCACTTAAAGGGCTTTAAGCAGGGAATGACATAAAACCAATTACATATCTAAGGTGATATGTGAAAAGCAGAGTATGTCCCAGCCACACAGGGCTGTTCGCTGGGTGCAGGTGGTGCGCTCAGCACATTAACACAGAAGGTCCCTGCTGCCGGGTGGCGGGCAGGGATGACGGGGGCGGTGGGGCTAGGCAGGGTGGAGAGGACAGGAACATCACAGCGTGCGAGCGGTAGAACCGCCTGGCACTGGAGGGGACGCGCCAAGTGGGAGAAGGAATCGTGGGGGGGATGGTGCTGCCGCTCCGGGAACATGGAGGGTGAGGAAGGAGCTGGGGAGATCCGCATCCTCGAGACTCGAGACTC